CAACCTAAACCATTCTATGATTCTATGATAATTTTGGCAAGTTGTATCATATGCAGCTCGATCCCTAGAAACCGATTTTGAGAGATACAGAAACTTGATTATATGTCTGCTCTCTGCAATACTGTTTTCCCCACTCTTCTTCGGATCACTCATCTATGTCCACTCGCCCCACCCTACAACCTACAAATCTCTCTCTTTCAAGCAAGTGTAATTGCCCCCAAAGCAAAACTAATGTTTTCTTCAAGTAGCTCCACTCATGACAATTACACTTTTCTGAAAAAAATGTAGAAAGACAAGTAAGAAAAAAGCAGAAGAGATACTCGAGTGTAATTGCCCCCAAAGCAAAACTAATGTTCTTTTCAAGTAGCTCCACTCAGCTGAAAAAAATGTAAAAAGACAAGTAAGAAAAAAGTAGAAGAGATACTCACCATTGCATGGGATGAAAAACTGGTAAGATAATAATAATAAGAAATAATTTTTAAAAGGACAGAAAGAAAAAAAATATAAGGAAAGTGAGAAAGTTGTAGAGTTGCTGGTTCCCACTCATTGATTAATATTTCTATGCATTTCATTTAAAGCAGTTAATCTTCAATCTGTCACAAGCCCCTCCCCTTCAGAGCATTAATCGCTCGTTAATCCCCACATCAGCCAGGCTGATGTACCTGTCTTCGGTTTCCGTCTGAATACTGCATGCCATTCTCCTGCAACTTCCCATTAGTTAGAGAGTTTCTATAAAAATGGAATGTAACTCAGAACGCAGTTCTGGAAAAATAAGACATCTGCTTTATGTTTACTTGAGAGAAAAAGCCACCTCAAAATAAAAACAGCAAGCCAAAACCACAAAAAATTTAAGTAACGGTCCTAAAACTCACGAGGTAACAAGACATTCAGATTCTCACCTCTCCAGAAGCTCGTGCTGACCGAACCCTGTTCAGCATGTTAGTGCCTGATGTTAAAGCTGATACAGCAGAAAATAATCATCTTAGGTAGAGACTGGTGGTGCAGGAATAGTATTTTCTGCTGTATCAGCCTCAATTGCACATCAGTAGTAATTATTCCCCGTCTGCTGTTGGGTAAATGTCAAACAATGAAGAAATATTTCTCTATGTGTGTAAATCTCAGCCCCATTCCATACTTTTCAAACATCACATAGCAAGTATTTTTCAAAACTGAATACCATAACATTTTGAGTCAACAACAGAAAAAAAAGGGTAAGGTGAACTCAGGAAGGGTAAGAAAAACCTCTGAAATGATGCAAAAGAACTAGGGAGACATAATTGTCATAAAGTATGATGTAAAGAAAATATTTCTAAGCCTCAATCTGACCATCTGATGTTATTTGTTCTCTGATCAGGTATTAAAAATAAAGTTTCTCATGAAGAAGTTTATCTTCTGGGATCTCAACTAAACTATTTGTCAATCACTCAGTTCAATAAAAAAACCCCTCCAATGTTTAGAGATAAAGATTTAGGAATAAGTGGAGAGGTAAACTGAGAGTTAAAATTTAATAGATCTTTCTAGTCTTAATAATTTCTGTTTACTTTTCCTCACAGTAAAATAAAAATGGACTTGTCTATGAAAGGAAAAAGTGACAAATTTAAAACTGATTACAGAAAAAACATACTTAGGTAAAGTAATCAGATGTGGAAATGAAATTACTTTAAACAATACTTGAAGAATTTGCATTATCCATACTTCATGGTTTATCGTATATGGCTCATATTTCATCCTACATAGGGAATAGAAACTGAAAATTTTGTGCTGTAGGACAAGACATGATCCCACTAGGGCATCATAAACCACACCTCATATTCAGGTCTTCCCCTGATAAAATGCCACTGATACTCAGACCAGGGAGACTTGGCTGGTATGGGAGTTTTCTAGACGATGTGGAAGGATTTTGTGTCACTGTACACCAAATTATGGTATCACAATGAAAAAGCTGCTCATGTAATCAATCATTCCCCTGAGAATCAGAATGAAATCAATGGTAAAGATGAACCCTTCTCTTTTAACTTTCGTGAAATGAATGTGTTTAAAACAGCTAACTGTATGACCCTGGTATGTAAAGGTTAAGCAGAATGCACAGTATCCTTTCATTATCTGCATTTTCACAGCTGGAATTTCTGAATAAGTATTGTAGCTTAAATATCTAATCTAACATTAACACTGAAGGTAAACAAAATTTGGACTTCAGTGCAACTTGGAGAAATTTTTAAGTGGATCTCACAAGTTTTGATACAAAGTGGGATACGTATCTCATAAATGCTTGCAGATACATGTAACTGCCTGAAAAGTCACTGAAAATGTAAGCACTGACTCCTCCAAGAGAAATTTTTCACCTTCATTTTTCAGGACAGCATGCCAAATATTTCACGGTTGCAGTAATCACTGGGGCAAGTAGCTGAAGATCAGGTGTTAGATGTGCCAGCTTCCATGGGATGCCAGTTTAAACGAAATAAGCGTTACACATTAATAATCAGCTTTGGAGGCTAATACCATAATTCTAACCCTCCTTGCTGTTTGTGACATTGGAATCCCTTGAAAAATGTCAGGAAAAAGCTGACAGTTTTCTCACAGATTATTCAACACTGCAATTTAACATTGCAATTTGTTTTACGGGTACTTTTCTGTGGTTGGGTGAAAATTAGGCAAAAACACATATAGAGGGCTGGGAGTGGAATTACAGATCTCTACGTGCAGTTTGAGAAAAGAAATGGGGTTCTGGGTATGATTTATGATGCCTATGACTCAGGAAACATAATACACTTTCAACTATTATTAAAATAATAATGTTGTTTAAAAAGAAATGAAGCTATTTCCGAGGGCATCAAGCATTTCGCCATTAAGTTGGTATAGATGGATAATTTCAGACAATGAATAATAATGTAGGCTATAAATAATAATGAAAGAAAAGGTCAATCAGAGCCATTAAAATTTAAAGACTGCATTTAACTTTTGTTACAGAAAATCGCTTTCTCTAATGCCAAGTGCTGCTTTGCTCTGGTTCAAGACAGCATTTATGCCTGTGATTAATTTAAAACATATGCTTACTTCCATTCCTATTCAGCAAAGTGCCTAAGCCTATTCTCAACGTTAATACAATGGCTGTATCTTTTCACTAAATCAAGGACTTAAAAATATAGAGGCTTTGACTGGGTTTTCCTACGACATTATTTTTATGAGAAAAAATAATTCGATTTTCTGTAATGTGATTTTTTTTCACTTTCAATATTTATTATTTTGCAGG